TAGCTATAGAAACCGACAAAAAAACTAATTTAAAAAAATGTTCAACCTCCTAAAAAACACAAAATTAGTGAATCTAATTTTGTTATCTGGATTTTTAGACAGTTATTTGGTCGTTACATCACCGAAATCATCTTATTTGAGTACGTTTTCAAAACTTTTCAACCTTAAGAAATTAAGATTAATTAACTAACTTTCATTATTAATAATTAATTGCCAATTCAGTCAATTCTTAATCAATTTTTAACTGACAACTAAAAGAATAAACCATAGGTACATTAATATATAGTTTGAATAAATATAAAATTAATTACAAAAAAATAGGTGAAAGTGAAAATACTACCACAGTAGCACCTGTATTTTTAGTAATGGATCCAGGCTTAGAATACTACCTAACCACAACTATACAATTACTACCGTCTGATAATACGTCTGATGTTGAATTTCTTAAATATATTCAGTCAAAATTGACAGAAATTTATTACGAAGCATTTTCATACTTTAGTAATAATGGTGGTTTATTAAATGTAAATCAAAACAGGACAGTAATTGTTAATAATATCAGTACTCCTTATTCTCATATTAATATATCTGCTGTTGTTAGTTCATTTTATGTATTTTTTTACATTTAATGTTTATATATAGACATTATTTTTATATTTTCAATAAATTTTTAAATAAATAAGCATATGTACATATGTGTGTACAAAAACATGTGTACATATGTATGTACTTTTTGTATTATCTTCTCAATTACACCTTGTACAGATGGTAAATGTCACAGTATCAAATGCAACATCAACAGCAGACCAAGAAATGCTCCAGCAGCTAAGTGAACTTACTGTCACTTATTACATTAGATTCACAGTCAGTGCAAACTTAACATTGTACATACCAGCTGTCATATGCAAAGCCATTTTGGATGATTACATATCCATAAGAGGCTTACAATATATGACTTTAAAATTTTCTAGAGTTATTATGAACTCGGTTGAAGGTGATTTTTAAGAATTATTTTAATATAAATAATAAAAAAATATTCAAATTAATAATTAATTCATCTCTGTAGATAATTTTTTAGAAAAAATAACTTTAATTTTCATTTTATTTGAAGTTTTTCAAAATCCGGTTCCAGTAAAAAATGAACTTAAGCCATCAGTAATAGTGGGAATTGCATTGGGTTCATTAGCTGCCTTATTATTTCTTGTCTGGTATATTCTTTTCAATTATTACAAACTAACGAAATACAGAAGGGTATACTGTAACAGAGGAATTCTCTGTCAAATGTCTGATGTAAGTAAGGTTAGACACACACACACACACACACACACACACACACACACACACACACACACACATATATATATATATATATACATATATATATATATATATATATATATATATATATATACACACACACAAAATACGCATTATTTTGGTTAGATTGATATGAAAGAGTCAGTGAATTCAACAAAGGATGGTGCCAATGTTGATGCAAATATCCTTGAACTTAAGAATGCTGATAATTCTACTGCTACTAATATTAATATTACTACACCTGTAACTTCTGGTAACGAAGTTTTGAAGTAATTTTTTTGGTTATTTCATTCTTAACATTGTTCTTATTATTAATTCTTCTTTTTCTTCTTCTTTTTCTTCTTCTTTTTCTTCTTCTCTTCTTCTTCTTCTTCTTCTGCAGTTTTACGGCGCTTCAGCTCTGATAGGCTATCTTTACGCTTTTGGCCCCTGTTGATTCTATTTCTTTTTTTCTTTTTTTCCTTTTTTTCCTTTTAATTATTTTCAAAAATACTTTTGCAGAGTTTCTGTACTCGTTAGTTCTGGCTTGGATGATAATCTACAGGTAAACCAACAAGACGAAAGTTATGTAGAACTGGCCGTACCCCTTCAACATAGTGAAACTTTGAAAAATTTGGTAAATAATGATTCTACTGGCAACAACGATGACGTCATAACTTATCCTAACTTATCTGAATCGAAACTTAGCGTCGAAGATATCAAAGAAAACGAAAGTGAAAGTAAAGTTAATGATGTTGGGGGAAATTACCGGCGTCCAAAAATATTCTCAATTGCAAATTACACGCCACATCTTCAGTATTATCCAGTTTGGAATCATTATAAAACATCAGATGAGGCTAATGATATCTTGTCAAGTAACATTCAAGTAACAATTAACTTTGAAATTTTTGAGAATCCTTTTTAGTTTTTTGTTGAAATTGATTGATTTTCAGTTATCAGAACAGAATTTTGAACCATCCGTTGCTACAATTGACAAGAGTTTGAATGATAAGACATCGCTGGCACGCAAAGAAGCCGGTGAAATTACATTAAATTCACGCCTTCTTAAAGAGCTAGGACCGATAAGTAGACAGGATTATATAGAAAATATCAATTTTAAGTCTATCCTATCAAAACATGGCTTATTGAATGATGATTACTATTCCAATATCATTATTTATTCTGATTCTAAACATTTTTAAGGTTGAAATGTGTTTTTAGAAATGATTTTTTTCTTGTTACAGCAATTTTTGAGAACATTATAAAGCAATCAACGTCATAGTTTATAAGATTTAATCTGTGTTAAACGGTGCTAAAATATGAACAACAAGATGAATATTACGCTGTATTTCAATCTTTAATATATTTATAATGGGTAAATAATGTTGATTTTTAATAAATTATAAATAATGGTATTATTTTTTATTTAAATTTTACAGTTTTGATGGATTGAATAATAATTGATTGATCACTTGCATGTTTGGTGAGATATGAAATCAAATGATTTAAAATAAATAGATAGGATTATTTAGGTAACTAAGCAATTTGAGAGGCATGCAACATCGAGCTTTCTGATGAGAATCCTTTATTTTTTATTATTATCTCCATCGTGAACAGTTGCCTTAACGTGACGAGTAGGCTTCTCACTGAATGCCCTTCAAACCAATCCTTCTTGTTCGCTGGTTTGTTCTCTTGGAAATGCAATTCTATCTCCTTATCTTGCTTGCATACGGTGACTCAGCGTGGAGTTATTTAAGAAACGAACTCACGCTGACTGTTGCTGACTGACTACAGGTGTAACTTCTATCATAAAGTTCTATGTGACCCGATAAGCCACTGCAGTAAGCCAACTTATGATTTCAACAATCCTCTTTCTATGAGCACCAGAATGTAAAATATTTATTGAACATGACGAAGACAGCTAATAAAACAACAATTTTGAATTATGTACTCCGTTTATTTCAATGAGAGCTTAACGAGAACGAATATTTCTATTATTATATATAATTTAGTTTATGTAATACTAATAAATGATAATTATTATATATTAGTATTGATATTACAATACATTTAATTCAATTTAATTACTTTATTGTTTCAGCATTATTTTTAAGATAGTAAGTCAAGTTAATATTTCATATAGCAGTTTTAGTTTCTATGCAATATCATAAGTGTAAGCCAATAAGCCAATGAAGCCAAATAGTCCAACCCATCATTTTGCATGACTTAGGCTTAATTATTTAAATAGAATAACTAATAAAATGGAGAAAAATAAAAGCACTCTACAACGCTGCATGGTTGGATTAGTGCAGAAGATTGCCGTCTATGAAACTAAATCAGTTTGTCAATTTTTTTTCACAGTTCATTTCTATTCTTCACTATCATTCATTCATCATAAAACTCAAACAACCACAATTAAAAAACCAACACATTGAGCCACTAACAACTTTTAACTAAGGTTTGTTTTATTTCACTGAATCCTTCATTATTATATTTTCATGTATTTTGTATTATTTTCTTCCATTTTTTTAAAATTAGAGATTCTATCTAGTTGGATCTAACAGCAATGAGTCCAAATTCAAGGTGATTAAAATTGACAGATTGGAACCCAAGGATCTCAATATACATGATGATCACGTAAGAAAAGAAAGAATTTTATTTTTTTGATCTTAATGAAATTATTTCTCCTTAGTTTTGCTTTTGTCTTTAGATTCTAAAGTTTAGTTTAGCTTTAGAATAATTTTAAAAATCATTTTGGACTTTTACTACCATCTTCTTTATTTGTGTTAGTTTCTGTATGTATGAATGGAAGAATGTATGTATGTGTAATTACTTTTAACTTATTGCCATTCATTCATTCATTCATTCATTCATTCATTCATTCATTCATTCATTCATTTATCAACAGTTATTGAAGCAGTTTTTAAATGTTATACACATAAATAATACTTACAATAACCAAAAACCACACAATCTAATGCTATTAATATTTCCCAAATCATCTTAATAATCCAATAATCTTCTTGACTTTCATTCTAGTTAGAATACACAGCCCAAGAGGTCAAAGATCTATTGCAAATGATCGACCAGGGAAATCGCTTTACAAAGGTCCCACAGAAAGGATCCAATTCTGTCGGATTGAAAAAGACACATTCGGCTTTTGGTATTGTTGGTTGGTTGTTTGAAATAATTTGTAGATACGTATGTGTATGTGTATATGTACATATATACATTTGTTTAAACAGAATCAATTTTGTTAATTAAAATTGGCTAAGACAAACTGAAAAATTCGAATATAAGTTCGAATATAGATTTGGGGAATTTATTGCATGTTGTCAAGAATTCGGTCTTCGACAAACTTTTGTTTCTGTTGTATATATGTTTTTTAAAAATGGTAAAAGTTATAATTATTCGTAATAATAGAAAATATAGTTAATAAAATATAATAATATAATTTATTTCTAGGCTTTGTGAGATTTCTGGAAGGCTACTACATGATCCTGATAACAAAACGACGGAAAGTCTCTGAGATCGGGCCCCATACTATATACAAAATCGAAGATACGACAATGGTCTACATTCCCAATGTAAACTATAACAGTAATAATAATAATAATTATGGTTACAATAAAATGACAAATCCAGATGAGAATAGGTTTGTTTGTGTGTGCGTGAGTATGTTTGTGTGAGTGTGAGTGTGTGTTTGTTTGTGTGTAAATTTTTATATATTCTATTTTTCTAGGTATGTTAAGATGTTTCAAAACGTTGATCTATCAAGTAACTTTTATTACAGGTTATAATAATAATATTATTAATAATAATTATTATTATTATTTATCATTCTTGTTGTAATTATTATTATTTTCTTTGCATTTTAAATTTCTCTAAAATGTGTTTTGGAAAACTTTTAATATATATATATATAAAATATATATACGTACATTTTATTTAAATGTTTGCTTATACATTCATTCATTTGTTTGTTTAAAAATAATTCAAAACTAATATTTTTTCCAAAATAACATCATATCCTCAATAAATTCACTCTTAAACACAGTCACAGCTACGACTTGTCCAATACGCTCCAGCATAATATGACGCCGTGTAAAATAAAAACGAATAATAACAATAATAATTATAACAATAATAATAATGACAATAATAATAATGAGAATAATAATAATAATAATAATAATAGCAATAATAATAATTCTGTTAGCGAAGAGAAAACTAATGATATTCCTGAAAGCAGTTGGTTTTATGATTCTTGTTATTATTATTATTGTTATTATTATTGTTGTTGTTGTTGTTATTATTATTACTAGCTTGCGTTGGCGTGAGGTGGAGCCCTTGCTGGCGTTTTGTTTGGAATGAATACCTGCTGAAAGATGCCAAAAATATTCTTCATTTTGATTGGCTGCTGTATATAACCCACGGCTTCATTGGCCAATCAAGTTCGTCTTTGTCTTTGTGTATTCATTTCTACCAGCCAGTCATAATAATTGTAACGATTACTACATATATAATTATATATATATTATATTATAATTTATATATATATTAATACAGTGATAATAATATTTACGAGCGTTTCCATTAGTTAGAACCGTCAGTCTGTGACTTGATGACGGAATGATTGATTGAATGAATGAATGAATAAATGAAAGATCAGATCATAATCTTATGCTATTATTGTTATAATAATAATAATTTATAATTACATTGAAATCGTAATTATAGATATAATTATCGATCCAGATATAAACGTTTACAACAAGAACATCTTCTTAACTCTAATCGCTCGAAGATCCAACAAATTTGCCGGAACTAGATACCTCAAGAGAGGAGCCAACATGGGGGTATGTGGGGGTAGGTAGGTAGGCTTTTTAGCGCCACCGCCTGGCCTGATAGTCAAGAGCGCCGTTCTACGTTGCTTAGGTTGCGATTGCAAAGAGAGGAATTGAACTAAAGACGTTAACACTGACGTTGTCAGAAAAATAGAAAAATCGTAATAATAATATTAATAAATAAATCAATAATTATTAATAATAATAACAAATTAATTAAATCATAATCAATACTAATAGAAAATTAATCCGTAATTAGTAATAATAATAAATTAAATAATTAATTAGTTAAATAATAACTTTCTATATGTAGGGCTCTGTTGCTAATGAGGTTGAGACGGAGCAGATCATCATCGATGCTTCTTACACTAACCTCGACATGATTAGGTGGGGGTCATCATAATATTAATAATTATAATAATAATATAATTATAATATAATATTAGTAATTATGACTGTATTTCTTTCTATGTTTTATTATAGGTTTACTTCGTTCGTTCAGACAAGAGGCTCCATACCATTGTACTGGTCTCAAGATAACAACAAGATGGTCCCTAAGCCTCCAATCATCTGTCAGTGGCGCTGATGATGGTGATGGCGATGTAACTGGTGCTGCTGCTGATGATGATGTTCTTGGTGGTGATGATGACGATGTTCTTGGTGGTGGTGATGATTATGCTGCTAGGGATGATGTTGGTGTCGGTGGTGTTCATGATGATGTTGTTTATATCTTCGTTGTCTTCGTCATCTCTATTATAAATATCGTCATCAACGTCATTATCCTAGTGGACCAATCAGATCCTTTCGGCTCGGCTGCAGGCCAACACTTCAACCAATTATTGGGCAGGTTTGGGTCGCCGGTCATCGTCCTTGACCTCGTCAAGGTCACAACATTCATTTTTACTCTCTTTCAAGTTCACTCATGAATTCGCGCAAGTTATACACGTCTTTCTTCTTTCAATGTTCAGTGCTGCACGCACATACACGTGAAACAACACACACACACACACATGCATGTTACGTTGTAGGCGGGCATCTCTTGCAATCGAACCCGGTCACTGACTGCACTAGCAATGCCAAGGTTACGGCATTACCGTTACAGCACTGAGAGGACTAGAAGTAAACTCATGATTTCTTCTAGAAAAAAGAGAAGAAGAAACATGAAAGTCTATTGAGTGACGAGTTTGTGGTCTGTATCAAATACCTCAACCAGTTCCTACCAGTAGAGCACAGGATAAAATACATTGGTTACGATATGGCGCGCGTCAGCAAAAAGTAAGTAAGTCGGTTGATTGGTTGGTTGATTGATTGGTTGGTTGGTTGGTTGATTGGTTGGTTGGTTGATTGGTTGGTTGAT